TATAAAAAGAAAATAGTAAAAAAAAAAAATAGAGAAAAAAAATTAATTTCAGATGAATTTTTTAGTATTCATGCGTCTCTTTTATGTGTAATACACGAATGTGACACATGGCAAAAGAAGTGTGTAATTGATACACTTTTAAAAATTTTGGTGTGTAATACTATTCTCGTATTTAATAAAGTGTGTAAGAGGGATTTAAGTACAAGGTCGATTGGTAAAGTATATATTTTGCCTTTCTTTCTGCAATAAATTCTCTTTAAACCCTTCTGACTAGGGGTGTTCGTCGGTCGGTACGGTACAGTATTTAGACATTTTATTTCGATATTTTCGGTAGTCGATTTCGTAAAATGCTATATCAATACCGTACCTAATTAAATTCGGTATGGTTCGGTTTTTCTCCTTTCAGTTTTGGTTTATTCGGTTTGAATACTAACTAGTGCATAGAGTCATAGACGGTAATATTCTTAATTAAAGTACTCAAAATTACAAAACTAAAAACGTTTGTTGACAAAAGTTTTGTCCAAAACCAGGAAATACCAACCTAGAGAGAGAAAACTTAGAGAAATATTTTGTTACTTGCTTAGAGTTAATTGATTAACTTAAAGAATAAAGGAAAGTAAAATTTTAGATTCTTATATTTATATTATAATTAATAAAATATGTATTGTGTAATATAATATATATTTCGGTACGGTATCGGTATTTCGGTATTTCATTTTAAAATATCAAATACCATACCTAATACCATTTTTTTTTTTAAATTTAAATCAAATACCATACCAAATATCAAAATATTGAATACCGAATATTAAAATTTTTGATTTCGATACAGTAATTTGATATTTATCAAATTATGCACCACAAGAATTCTGTGAAACAACTCTAACAAGTATTGCAAAGGTAAGCAAAGAGATCCACACAAGATTGCCATTTATGCCTACCCATTGGAAACCCAAACGCTAACTAATAATGTGTTTGATTAAAGTTTCTTTTTCGTCAAAAGTGCTATTATCCAAAGTAAAAGTGCTTGATCAAGTTTTTAGAAGAAAAAAAAATACTTTTTAGAAAAAAACAGAAGCAGTTTCTAAGAAGTAGAAAAAAATAACTTCTCCCCTTAAGTACTTTTTTGAATTTATTTTAAAAGCTCTTTGGAGAACAATACACCTTAGAAGTACTTTTTACAAGTTTGGTCAAATATTAATTGTTGTTCAAAAGTACTTTTCAAATTAATTAGTCAAATATAAATTATTTCTTACCAAAAGTATTTGTTTTAAAAATATTTTAAAAAATATCCATTTTTCAAAATAACCTGATTTTAGAAGCTTGGCCAAACAATCTATAATAACTAATACTAACACCTTTTTTTTTTCCTTCCCATAAATTGTGAAATAAAAAGAAAGAAAAATAGATTCTTTACTTTTGAAATTGGTTCTCCCAAGTCCCAACAAGGCAGAAATATCATATTCTCAAATCTTGCGTGACAAGATCATATCCACAATAAAAAAAATTAAGAAAAATAGGAGAATTTTTTTTAGAAAAAAACGAGAAAAGTCCTATATTCAATCATTTAATTGGNTTGTCAAAAAGTTGATTCTTACACATAAACCAGTAATGTTGAATTAGTTTTCTCAAATATGTTTCTCTAAAGATAGAAAAGAACAAATAAAGGATGTTCTTGGAAAAATTCTTTGTTAAGAAGTGCTTTCCCTTAAAATAGTTTTACGCGGTGTGAATTCGGATTAATCGCCGGGGCAAGGAGTACCAAATACTGGGTTGTTAAAACCAAACAATATACTACTAATTGATAGAAAGAACAAGAAGAAGAAACAGAGGAAAGCACCAAAAAAGAAGATGAAAAGACAAGAAACAGTTAACAAAAAATATAGCAGAGAACTCAAAAAGATGAAGACTTTGAAAAGTAAATATTCATTTACAATTCCATATCTGAATTAACCAAACTCCTTTCCTATATATCTTCAACAAAAAAGAAGAAGATAAATAAGAGACAGAAAACTAAAATGAAAAACTAGAACATGACTCCTTTTTTCCCCTGAATTAATCAGGATTTTTACTAGCACAAATCAACAAAGAAAATCCAACTTTTTCTTGTTCTTTTTGCTGCAAATTCTTCTCTTCTAACCACAACCTACTATCCAAACCACTCCTTGTCCTAAACATAAACATAGCAAATCCAGATTTTGAATTAAACAACCAATCATGAGCATCCCACATCATATCTATTAACAATCCATCCAAAAAAATCGTCTGATTTCCGCGAAAATTCCATTGTAATCTCTTAACTTGTATAACATTCTTATTATCAATTGTAACAGACAAAGCTGAATTCTTGAATATGTCATTTGCACTCTTTTTTTCTTCTCCTGCGCACTTAATCAGTATGTCATGACATTTTCCACTGTCACAGAACTTAACCTTAGTTGCAAAAATACAACTGCCCGAAAAATGTTCACTTCTTGAAACCAATGTAAATCTCGCCGTTCCAATATTAGAAACTGAATTCTTGAACTCAATCTCTTGTTCCATATCTCCTAGTACTAACCCCACCTCAGAATTCACTAGGACTTTTACATAAAACCCGTTGATCGGTTCAGGACCTGCTTCATATGTAGCACTGGAGAGATCCCAGAAAATATTGAATATTGAGTTAAAACATTCAATAATATTTGAGCCTTTTACCTTGTCTATTTTCTTGAAATTCTTTGTAAATTTGGAGGAAGAACAAGGATAGTCACTTATGCTAATTGAGAACCCTTGTTCTATTAAGCTACACCATGTGATTTTGATGAAAAACTGCTTCTCTGTGTAGAGTTTGGCTTTGTAAAGACAAGTAACAACATTTTGGATTGAAGGAATTAGGTTTGGTGATAAGTAAACATGATTTTTTGGACCTGAACAATATGAATCTGTTACTTTTATAGCATGTTCATTGTAACAACTTGCTATATTTCTCATTCTTTCTTGAAAAAAAAGAGAGAGTAATATATTTGATTCTTGTGAACTACAGAAAGAAAGAAAGAAAGAAAGAAAAGAGAGGAGCTTTTAATGTATTTTATGGATTATACTTTGCTGTTGTGGAAAAGAAAATGGAGGGGTTTGAAAGTTAATTTGTAGAAGAAAAGAGAATTTGTAGGTTCTTTTCTTCTTCAAACAGTTTGTTTCTTACTTGAAAGGCTTGTTTTGGTATGTGACTAAAAAACCAATAGAAGAGAAAATCCAGGTTTTGGCCAGGTCATGGCCATTTAATAAGGATTCTCTGACCTGAAAATTCTAAATAATTATATTAAACAGTCAGAAGAATAGAAAGGCCTTATTAATTTTCATAAAGAGTTTCTTTAATTAGAGGGATAGCTCGGTGCACGAAGCATTTTGCGTTCACGTAGGGTTTGAGGAAGAGCCGCAATCCTAAGGGGAGGTGATGTCGGCAATCTACCCTAATGCAAGTATCATCAGCTGATCTCATAACTCGAACCCGTGACCTATATAGGTCACACGTACACAACTTTACCATTGTTGCAAGACTTGCCTTCTATAAAGAGTTTCTTTAATTGAGCACTACAAATTTTCAGTGACAGTTAAATTTTTATGTTTAAAAAATTGTTAAGAAGAAATTGTTAAGTTTATTAAGTACTACTATGGTTTGACTTGATCTTATTCTATTACAAGTAATGAAGAAAATGCTAGGTGTTCTATTTCATTTTCTTGATTATCATTATTGTGCTTAACTTGTCGTTTTCTGTGATCTGTACTTACTATTTAATTGTATGCTAATGTCAACTTATTAAAAAAACCTAAAAATTGAACCAAAAAAACAGATGGTTTAACTTAAACCTTTAGGGGTCGTTTGGTTTGACGACAAGTTTTGCTGGGATTAGTTATGATGAAATTAATTATACTGAGATTAGTTATTCTGGTATTATTTTCTATTGACTGATTGGTATGTAATATTAATCCTAGCATTATCAATTTTACTACTTTATCCCGGGATCACTATTTCACCCTCTAGCAAGTATAAATTATCCGGTACTATTTTTAATTCTGAGATAATTTATCTTAAAATTACTAAACAAACAAAGAATAAAGTGGTACTAAATTTTTATCCCAAAATTATTTTTTGTTTATCCATCCTAATTAACGACCCCTTACATGTGCATGTGATCATCTCAAAGTAAAGAGTTGAGATTGAGACCTATCTGCGTGTCATTTCAAGAAAAAATAATATTAATAATATAAGCTAATTCTATATACCCATACCATAATGTAGAGCTGTTGCAGATAAAAAGAAAAACTGTGATGTTGAGAGATGGGCCCTGTAATTAAAATTAGTTAGAAGGAACCACCAACTACAAATCAAAGTAGGATATTATCAAGAAACTCATTTTTCTACTAATTTCTATATATTTTTAAGAAAAACATATATTTTTAGTTGTTTCAAAAAATAATTATCGATAAAATATATATTTTTTTGTATATTTTAAAATGTATGTAGAACAATACACATATTTTATATATTTTTTGACTAGTTAATACCATTAGTTTATGCCAACCGCCAATTTTGTATTTTTTTTTCTATTTTTAACAAGTTAATTCATCAAGATAGCCTCCATCTTTTCTATTTTCCTAGGATTTTTACGAATATTTGATTACTCAGTAATTCTCTTCTATTTTCCTCATCTTGTTTATTAATAAATAATTGGATTTGAAGAATAGATTGTAACCCAACATCACTTTTGCCAAGAGATGTCCTTATCATTTAAACTTTTACCAACCAAAACATATAGTTTTCTCACTTTACTCTTGTTTTTCATTTGTTGGGGAGAGAGCCCTGTGAACACACTTCACTTGGAAGTGTGTGGGATGGATGAGATTTATAACTCCTGATAGTTTCGAGTTTGAGTCTTGTATAAAATGGAGAAGCTCCGGATACTCACGTAAGACAACGGCTTGGCAAATATATATATATATATATATNAGATACTCATTTTCTCTTTACCTAAAATATCCCTAGTAGCCTATTGGAACACATTAATATAGGAGGCTTTTTGGTCTTTTCACGAATAACTCTAAACCCAACACATCTCATACCCATTTTCCCGTCCCTCATTGAGATTTGTCCTTCTCTCTCTTCTCCTTCTCTTTTTCCCATTTTCTCTATTCCCATATTCATCTTCAATATCAAGTAAAGGATACCATGGCTATAATCTCTAATATATAACTAAAAATGTTTTTCAATTTTGATACCCCGATCTATTAGATTAAACTTATTTCTTGTCTTGTATTTTGTTTTAGATATTCCAAGGCAGTCTTGGAAAGAAGAGATACACTACAACATTATTGGAGTTACAAATATAATCAACTCTTTTGCTTTGAGGAGTTTATCATGTGTGTGTTTTGGAACTTGTCCCCTGGCGAGATTATCAAGCTCCTTTTTCTTACTGAAAAAATTATGTTTTTTTTCTTACTGAAAGTGGGTTTAGTTTTTATTTTTAGTTTCAGCAGAGCTTCTTGTGGAGTAATTAAAAACACAATTTACAATCCATCAAGAAGGAATTGAAGCTAAGAAAATGGATTGAAATCTGCAAAGGGAGAGCTTGCAGACAAAGAAAATTAAAGTTGGATCCTTTTACTTGGAGAAACACTAGTGTAAAAAGAACAAAATTGGATGACCGAAAAGACAAAAGAACCCCTTTAACTCAGTTGTTGTTACTTGTTAGTATGTTATGAAGGATAATTTAGGTAAAGAGGAAATGGGTATCTTGCTAACATACTACCTTCTTATATTATATTAGCAAGACTCATACATATATATATCTATATATATAAATTATGAACATATAACTTTAAAAAATACAATGAGTTTAATGATTAGAAAATTAAAGGTTGAATCCATAAAATTAAATTCTAGATCCGCCTATGTGAATAGATATCAGATTTTTTTTACCACCTCTATCAATCTCAAAACTCAATTATACTAAGCTGGCCCGTTCAAACCAAAACTGACTTATTGAATTGATATCACAAGGGGAAGATATATATGAAAATTAAAGAAACTTTGGAAATTTTTTCCTTTGATCCAATCAAGATGTGCACAAGTTGCATATCAACATTCTTCTTAATACTCCATACGCATTTGCAGTTGAGAACATTAAATTTTGTGAAAATGAAAGAGCACTGAGAAAGTGGACTAAAGAATGGTTATCTTGAGCTTGTGTCTTTTCCAATCAACTTCCACAGACATAATAATAATAATAATAATAATAATAATAATAATAATAATAATAATAATAATAATAATAATAATAATAATAACATAGAATAATCCCAAAATCTTCAACTAATATAAAGTCATATGTTAGATATTATGCCAAGTGACTTTAATGGTATGAGGAAATATAGGTTCATGAATTCCTAAATTTTTCTAAAAAAGAATAGTATCACTTAATTAGTCCTTTCGTTTCAATTAATATGGTGTAGTTTGAAGAGACATGAAGTTATAGTAAAAAAATTCATATCGCTGACCCTAACTTTATTTGGGACTGATAGTTATGGTTGTATACCAAACCCGCGTCAATGACTCCAAAAAAAAAACTTCAGAAGAATAATGTTGTTTCCTTGCTATCTAAAACCCTAAATCAGCCACCATTATTAGTTCCCACATTATTTATTATAACCTCTTGAAGTACTTTAAAGGAATAATGTTATTTGCTTACTAATATATGTTATTAAACTGTATTTGTAAAATAATTTTGGAGAAGATAAAATAACATATAAACAGAAATGTAAACGAAACAGAATTTAATCCGAACCCACTGAATTCACAGTGTTTCCTTAAGGAATTTAATCCCCTTCTAGTACCCAAGATTGTGGATTATTTTCTCCCACGATAGAACGAATTACACACTGGTGTAGCGATACTTCAAACACCAGTGTTTCAGCGAACACAAAGATCGGTAGCAAATCACACTTACTGTTGCTTTGTTTGTAGTTAAAATAATGCAGAAGAATGGAGGAGAAGACAGAAATTCGTATAGAAAATCTGAGAGAATGGACTGGTATTTATAGCCAATGTTGAGCTAAAACTTAAGAGGTGCAACTCTTCAAATCCGAAGAGGTGCCAACTGTTTCTTCAAATCTGAAGAGGTGCAAACTATTCTTCAAATCTGAAGAGGTGCAAACTGTTCTTCAAATCCGAAGAGGTGCAAACTGTTTTGTAAATATCTTTTACAAAAAGCGAAGGGCATATACTATTATGTTTGGATTTAATATTAATATTCCATTTATAAAAAATCGGATATTTAATAACAACTCTGTTAATATTTACTATTAACAAATAAATTTGGTCCAAAAAATTAATCAATCAATTGATCATTTGACCAAATCCAAATCCAAATCCGAAGCCGAAGCCGAAGCCGAAGCCGTAGCCGTAGCCGAGCCGAGCGAGCGAGCGACGGCGCGAGACTTGCCTTCTTCTTAACTCTTTAAGAGCTAGAAGAAGTGCATTGTATATATACCCATCAAAATCTTTTCCTCTTCTAATATGGGACAATATCCCTTTATCAAGAAGGAAAACTCAAATATTTTCAATTTTCCTCCATTTCCCATTCACCCTCTTTTAAGCTATATTTAAGCTTAAAACCCCAATAATTTTAAACTACATTTAAGCTTAAAAACCCAACAATCCCCCACATGAATGGGGAATGGCTATATCACGGAAATATGCATGAAAAACTATGTGATTCGCAAGCAAGGATTAATTGTATCAGGATAAGTAGGTTTCCCTTTGAACTTTCCGTAGTGAACTTATGTCGGATATACTCAGTCAATCGGTAGATTTGATATCTTTGAACCGTCGAACTTTGGTGTATACTTAGATAACCATAAGTCACACAACTAACCCTTAACCGTCTTTAACTCTTATTGTTGTGTTCTTTCAGCCATGAACACCGCCTGGTTTAATAAGTGCGTAGAGAATTGGCCTTACAAAATTTCCCTTGAAGCGGCTAACACTTCATACTTACATAGGTGATTCCTAAACATGTCATCCCGTAGATACACTATTTGATATACCCTGTATCAAATTTAGAAGTCATTAAAAAGCCTTAATGCTTTATCCTTGGTACTGAATATTGTCTCATCACGAGAATGAACCAAACTTTTAGTTGCCAATGTTGAACCATCATTAATGACTTTGTTTGATCTCCTTGAACCTAGATCTTGGGATCTCCAGTCTTCTAGGTAGAGTTACCGCCACAATGGCTTATTCTCGGCCATAGTCCCATTCCCCTCGATGATTTCTCAACTACCTCTCTAGTTAGGCCTTTTGTAAGTGGATCCGATACATTATCGCTTGACTTTACATAGTCAATCGTGATAATTCCTCTAGAGAGTAATTTCCTAACGATTTTATGTCTTCGTCGTATATGACGAGATTTATCGTTATACATCACGCTTCCAGCCCTTCCAATTGCCGCTTGACTATCGCAATGTATGCATATTGGTGCCAACGGTTTGGGCCAAAATGGAATGTCTTTCAAGAAATTCCGGAGCCATTCAACTTCTTCACCGGCTTTATCTAAGGCTATGAACTCAGCTTCCATTGTAGAACAGGCAATACAAGTTTGCTTGGACGACTTTCAAGATACCGCTCCTCCACCAATAGTGAATACATATCCACTTGTGGACTTAGAATCAGTTGAACCGGTGATCCAATTTGCATCACAATATCCCTCAATCACCGCAGGATATTTACTGTAGTGCAAAGCAAAGTCCTGGGTATGTTCTAAATATCCCAAAACTCGTTTCATTGCCATCCAATGAGGTTGACCTGGATTTCTCGTGTATCGACTCAATTTGCTTATAGCACAAGCTATATCTGGTCGTGTACAATTCATGATATACATTAAGCATCCCAACACACGAGCATAATCCAATTGTGATATGATTTGGCCTTTGTTCTTTGCTAATGCAAGATTCACGTCAATTGGAGTCTTTGCAACTTTAAACCCTAAGTGCTTGAATTTTCCAAGTACTGTATTAATATAATGAGATTGTGACAATGCCATACCTTGAGGAGTCTTATTGATCTTAATCCCCAGAATTAAATCAACAACTCCCAAGTCCTTCATATCAAACTTGCTAGTTAGCATACGCTTAGTCGCATTTATGTTAGTAATGTCATTACTCATTATCAGCATATCATCCACATATAAGCAAACAATGACTATATGATTTGGAACATTTTTAATGTACACACATTTATCACATTCATTTATCTTAAAACCATTTGACGATATTGTTTGGTCAAATTTCTCATGCCATTGTTTGGGTGAAATACTAGTAAAGCCCTTCATTTCAGATTTCGCTTAATAACCATTTTTTCCTCCAAAACATTTCCCTCCAAAATTAGTTAATAACTATTGATTATCCCAAAACATTGATCCCATAAATTATCATTCTCTCATGCATGGGAAGATCAAAAGCCTTCGTATATGTATACCTATACTATTACGTTTTTTTTTAAATACAATTTATACGGATGGGAAGATCAAAAGTTTAGTATGTATACATAATATTATTTTTTTATTTATACGGTATACCTTGTTATACCATACACTTATGTTAAGAGAGCTTTCATTAAACACATAATTCACTACCCTTCCCCTAACCTAAACATGAATGCTAACCTAGAAACTAGTTTGGAGCCATTAAACCCGAATAACATCCTAGAAACTAGGTCGGAGCAACTAAGGAATGTATTACACATATCATTGGGGTTGAATTCGGATGACAGTTTGATGAATGAAGATGAGTCGGTCAACATTAATTCAGACGGCAACTTCAATGATGGAGAAGATCATGTTGACGATGATGATGATGATGATGATGATGATGATGATGATGATGATGATGATGATGATGACGGCCATTATTTAGAGGATGGGGGAGAAGGTGGAGAGGACAGAGAAATGTCTAATGAGTTCAATGAAGAAGATCTAGTAATTTGTCCAATTACTGGGATGTGGTTCAGTAATAAGGATGTTATGTTTGATTTTTACAAAGAACATGCAAGATTATCAGGGTTTTGCATTGTCAAAAGAACATCAAACAAAAAAGGTGGTGATATTGTTAGGTATGTGCAATATGGTTGTGATAGGTCTAGGAAACCAAGGAATAAGCATGTTACCAAGAGGAGGAACTGTCGTGCTAGAATAAATGGAATTTTGGAGGAGAATGGTTCATGGCATGTTTCAAAGGTGGTTAAAAAACATAATCATCAATTGGAACCAATACTATCGTGATTTATGGCTGGACACAGATCGCTTAGTAAGTCTCTTAAGAGAACTCTTGCAGCCAAAGATATTGCTGGCTTAAGACCCTCAAAAAATATATGAGTCGTTGAAGTACTTGCTGGTGGCCCTGAAAATCTGGGTTGTGCACCAAAGGACTATAGAAATTATATTTTGAAGAGTAGAAAACTTCAGTTGCAAGAAGGGGACGCATAATCATTACTCAAGTTCTTCAGTGACATGCAGCAAAAAGATAGGGAATTTTACTACTCTGTAGATATGGATAGTTTTGGTCGACTTCGTAATGCCGTATGGGTTCATTCACACTCTAAGGTTGCATATGAGGAGTTTCACGATGTAATTTGCCTTGATACCACATACCTTGTGAATCGATACAATATGCCATTTGCTTTATTTGTTGGTGTCAATCAGCATAGGCAGTCCATACTTTTGGGATGTGCTCTTATGTCTAGTGAGGATACAACAAGTTACAAAATGGTGCTCTCTACATGGCTTGGGGCTCTAAACAATGTTCGTCCATTAGCTATCATGACTGACCAATGTGATAGTATTAAGGCTGTCATCAATGCATTGATGCCAAATACGGTACATAGATATTGTATATGGCATATATTCGCAAAGTTGCGTACGAAGTTAAGCGGAGTTTTTGACGGTAAGATTGTAAAGGCAGAATTTAAGGTTTTAGTCCTTGATAGCATTAACGTTGCTGAGTTTGAGAGAAGATGGACTGATTATATTGTAAAATATAACTTAGATGTAAGGGATTGGTTTTATAAGCTTTATTTGGAGAAGGAAAAATGGGTTCATGTATACCTAAATGACCACTTTTGGGCTGGGATGTTGTCCACACAAAGAAGTGAAGGAATGCATGCTTTCTTTGATGGATTTATCACCCGCCAAAGCACTTTGAAGCTATTTGCTCAGCAATATGAGTTAGCCATAAGAGCTAAGTTCGAGAAAGAATTGGAAGCTGAATATAGGTCAAGGTGCTTTGAACCAAAATGTTTGTCTGAATTCGCATGTGAGGAAAAACTTCAAGTATGTTATACTCGTGAAGTGTTTGAATTTTTTCAAGTACAGTTAAGAAAACTGTTCCATTGTGAAATCAGTACCCCTGAAGATCATCAAGCAAACCCTGGAGTGGAGAAATACACTATAACAAATTCTTTGTTCAGGAGTTTTAACACTAGAGATCCATTTGTATTCACGGTTGAATATACACCTATTGGTGAGTATCTAAGTTGCAGCTGCAAGTGGTTTGAAACAAGAGGTATTCTATGTTGTTATATACTTAAGGTGTTGTCTCATAAAAGGATTAAAAACGTTAATGAGAGGTATATATTGAAAATGTAGAGAAAAGATGTTGTTCATCCGTACTTGAAACGTTTCTTTCTAGGAGGTTACCCACGTATGACTTCTGAATACATGATGTACAGGGAACTGTTAAAACATTTTGAACGGGTTTGTGATATTGCATTGGACACTGAAGTGATATATTAAGTATGATTTTAACAGATTGGAACATGACCTTTTGAATTGGGATGATGATATGATAGTTCCAAATTGGGATTTGGAAGATACACATGATGGTGTGAGTGAGGGTGGGGGTGAAGGTGGGGNGACGAATTGATTCATACTTTAGAAGTTCAAAAACGGGTGGTGGAAGTGGAGTTAAAGGTAATATGAGGGGTAGAGGTGGTGGTAGAAGTGGTGGTAGAGGTAGCGGTAGAGGCCGTGCTAGAGGAGGTGGTAGAGGTGGTGGTAGAAGTGGTGGAACTCATCGGCTAGCGGAAGGAATTGAGGTAAAGTATAACAAATTTGATTAATTATTTTATTTTTTTAGGTAAATACATTGCTTATTAGTCTTATTTACTCTAATTACAGCAAAATGATACAATAGTACCACCACAGAGTAGCTTGCTTGATCTAAACGATAAAGCAAACTGGGAAGTAGAAGACTTGACCGTTTAGTTTGAGATGATTTAAGTTTGAAACTTATTTAATTTGATTTGAGATAGATTTTTATTGAATTTATTGACTTTGTTTTGTAATAAGTTTAAACGTGTGGTATTATAATTGTCATTGTTAAATACTTCATTTTATTGTTACTTGCTTTTAATTTAGAGGACTTTTGTTTTAAACTACCCATCAATACCTGGGCTGGGATATATTCAACTTCCGACTAATAAGGTTGTAGTCATATAACCTATGCTAATTAGATCGTTGCGCTTCATAGTAATATTGTCCATTTATATAATAGCCGTTTATATTAAGGTCACACGTATCGGCCTATAGTAACCATATAAGTCCATTGACTAATAAGGTTGTAGTCATATAACCTATGCTAATTAGATCGTTGTGCTTCATAGTAATATTGATCGTTTATATAATAGCTGTTTATATTAAGGTCATATATATCGGCCTATAGCAATTATATTAGTCCATTGACTAATAAGGTTGTAGTCATATAACCTATGCTAATTATATCGTTGTGATTCATAGTAATATTGACCGATTATATAATAGCCATTTATATTAAGGTCATACGTATCGACCTATAGCAACCATATAAGTCCATTGACTAATAAGGTTGTAGTCATATAACCTATGCTAATTAGATCGTTGCGCTTCATAGTAATATTGACCGTTTATATAATAGCCATTTATATTCAGGTCACACGTATCGGCCTATAGCAACCATATAAGTCCATTGACTAATAAGGTTGTAGTCATATAACCTATGCTAATTAGATCGTTGCACTTCATAGTAATATTGACCGTTTATATAATAGCCGTTTATATTAAGGTCATACGTATCGGCCTATAACAACCATATAAGTCCGTTGACTAATAAGATTGTAGTCATATAACATATGCTAATTAGATCGTTGCGCTTCATAGTAATATTGACCGTTTATATAATAGCCGTTTATATTAAGGTCATACGTATTGGCCTATAGCAACCATATAAGTCCATTGACTAATAAGGTTGTAGTCATATAACCTATGCTAATTATATCGTTGCGATTCATAGTAATATTGACCGTTTATATAATAGTCATTTATATTAAGGTCATACGTATCGGCCTATAGCAACCATATAAGTCCATTGAGTAATAAGGTTGTATTCATATAACCTATGCTAATTAAATCGTTGCACTTCATAGTAATATTGACCGTTTATATAATAGCCATTTATATTATAGCTGTTTATATTAAGGTCATACGTATCGGCCTATAGCAACCATATAAGTCCATTGACTAATAAGGTTGTAGTCATATAACCTATGCTAATTAGATCGTTGCGTTTCATAGTAATTTTGACCGTTTATATAATAGCCGTTTATATTAAGGTCATACGTATTGGCCTATAGCAACCACATAAGTCCATTGACTAATAAGGTTGTAGTCATATAACCTATGCTAATTAGATCGTTGCGCTTCATAGTAATATTGACCGTTTATATAATAGTCGTTTATATAATTTCATTCATTAAGGTCATACGTATTAGCCTATTTATATAATAGTCAATATATAATTCTATATATTTTTATTGATTAATCTTAATTATAATAAAAGGAAAAAAAAACATGATTAAATTTTAGAACTAAAATGTATTCTAGCTTCTTTATTAGGAGGAAAAACAAGATGACATTTTTGGACTAAAATGTCAAATACATTTTTCGGAGGGAAACAAAGGGAAAAGTAAAAATATGATTTGAGGAAAATTGAAAGTTTTGACTCTTTATATATCTCTTAAACACAAGAACAATATTTTTAATTCTCCAAACAAAATCGATACTCTAAACATGAATGCTAACGGATGGATTGAAGATGAATTCTATCCATGGATTCGGATGAACGTGCCCAGATCGTACATTAAGCGTGATTATCTGGTAATTTTTTTCTTAAATTTTCATGATTTGATAACTGTTGATTATCCCAACTAGTAATGAACCCTGAACCCTATCTTTACATTATGTACTTGCAGTTTCTTCCAAAGAGTATCTGTGTCTATCTTCCTCCTATTTCAGTTAAAATAATGCTTCGATGTAATGAAAAGGAGTGGGCTGTGACTCTCACAAGTGGTGTTCGGAGAAGACTCGTTAATGGGAGGAAATAATTTGTTGTCGACAATAATCTGAAGAAAGGGAGTGTTCTTCTCTTTGAACTAGTTGAGGCTACATCAGGGGCTGTGATCTTCTCTGTTGAAGTGTTAGGATAACCTAATGCTTAGCTTGATATGTGCTTCTCTTTAGTTATATGTACTTACTTCAAATGGATCAAAGTAAACATATTTATGGATTAATATGATTGTTCCTCATAATATTGTTTGTGTTTTTTTTATTTATTATTGTTATATTTATCTATTTTAAGAAGACTACCGGTTTAAAAAATATCCAATTAAAATTGGAAATAATTTAATATATATTTAGTGCAGAAGTCCCCCTCTTCTTTTCTATCACTTTACAACCAAGAACAAGACTAGGAAGATTATTATTATTATTTAAAAAGTTTAAAAATCGACATTAATTTGCTGATAGAGAAGTGGAAAAATCAACAGGGAAAATCAAAAATTGTATTTACCAATACAATCTTTTAGAGACCGATCTGTTATTAATTAGAATTCAACCACCAAAACCTAAACCTAAACGAATCTAAACCAAAAGAGAACCTAAACCTAAACAAGGATCAAATAATCTTTATATGGATTACTCAAGTCTTTTAAGGTTAAGACTATGAGATAAAACCTATGAAGTGCACTGCTACTATATGGCAGAAGTTTTAAAAAAAAATCCAAAATCTGTATAGGTGGATGGATAAAGACAAGTTTCTATAATTAATTGTAGTCATGGAGGAGAGTAATGGTTGCATGGAGGAGTGTAATGGTACATAAAGGAGTGAAATTGACTACTGAGAAGTGTAATGGTTGCATGGAGGAGTGGAAGGGGCTACTGGGAAGTATAATGGATGCATGGAGGAGTGGAAGTGGCTGCTGGGATGTGTAATGTCCGTATAGAGGAGTGGATATGTCTACTGGAAAGTGTAATGGTTGCATAGGGTCTCTACAAAGAGATTTTAGGTCCTACTGGGAAGTGGAATAACTATTATAACTCACTCTATATATTTTAAGAAAAATATGCTAACCCTACATAAAACAATAAAACTGAAACTACTACTACTACATCTAAGCATAATGATGGATAGGACTCCGACCAAGAAAGCTGTTGAACAACCACTCCATGGTTCACCCGTTAGTCATAATATTTTGTACCAAGATCTTAAGCGTGACTTTACTAAGCTGAAGCGTGAGGTTAATGAATTGCTTGAGAGGGTGGTTCGTGACTTAAACATTGATTACCTAAAAAGTATGATGTTGGAAGAGCATCCTTTAACTTCACTCTATACTATGCTTGACGATATGCTCACACCATCCCTCCAGAATGGAGTAAGAGCAATTCTATCATTGTTATGACTAGTGATACCGAATCCGCCTCCAAGACCACCAAGTCTCTTTCCGTGACCCAGAATATTGAGTAGTCCATGCATTATGAAGTTTTATCTCAAGTTGCCTTTTTGCTTATGGTGATGTTTTTTAGTTTATGAAGTTGTCTACCCCTTATGGTGATGTTTTTATTGATCTTATTATGTTTTGGTGATGTTATGAAGGTTCATATAAATGAAACTATTATTATTATTATTATTATTATTATTATTATTATTATTATTATTATTATTATTATTATTATTATTATTATGTCTTTGAATCTTTTTTGTTTTATGATCGTTTGATTCAAGTTAACAAAACAGTCCTATTGTCTTCAATATTGCAACTGTTCGTTTGACGCCTAATGCAATGAAAGTACTAAGAGTAATATTTGTAAAGATTAATTAAGTCCCTTAAATGTGGCCAGTTGTTTGCCAAATTAATATAGCACATTGAACTTGAAGATAGTTGAATCTTTTAAAGGAAAAAGATTTTTACACCAAACTTGGACAGTAGGAATTAGGGATTGTTTGAATCAACCATGGACAATAGATTTTTACACCAACCAGGGATCGTTTGAATATTTTTTATTTTTATACCAACCTTGGACAGTAGAAAAATATATTGTCAAGAAACTTATATATATAGACAAAACATATGAAGCAAACTTCTCAAGTTCTTGTCCAAAGAAGTAGTTTTTTATAGATGAAACAAACAGTGTCCAAAACCTGACATTACTATAATTTTTCAGAATCAAACAAATGTAAAAAGTTCATCTAACATTCCAGACAGTGTCCAAAATCTGATGAATATCATGAAATAATATAGTAAGGATTAAAACAGGTGCAAAATGAATCTAACGCTTATAACTTACTTAACATCTAGTCAGTATATGATAACACTTTGATACTTAGAACTAAACTTTTCTATTAAGATCTAACAATATAGACAAAACATTCAGTTCATAAGGGGGAAAATACTCTTATTAATAATCAAACTGAACAACTTTCTGATATCTTTATCCCTACAAACATTCCAGCTAACAACACAGATGATATACACTTGTTCCATTGTCACCTTCAACTCCTACACCACTTTCATCTACAAACGAACTTGAAGGTGGTTCTTCACTGTCAACATT